GGCTTCGTGTTCAAGGCGGTTCTGCTGCCGGGAGCCAAGTAAGAACGTTTCCTTCCAGGAACCAGTTGTTCTTCTTTCTGCCGCTGGTTTGACTGGGAACAATCTGGAAACAGACGCTTCATATCTCATTCAGAGTCAGAACCAGTTTAACCAGTTTATCTGTTCCAGGATGCCCAGCAAGGTGCTGAAACCAGAGGACTATCAGCGGGGGGCCCGGGGCCCCTGGAGGCCCCAGCTGGGCTTCAACCCCAACAGGCAGCAGGCCCACCTGGACCAGGCTGGCTTCCGGGCGCTTGGGTAACCACACTCAGACCGTCCGAACAAAAACAACCAATCAGAGCCAGGAGGAGGGGCTAAGAGCTGCCAATCATCCTCATGGATGTACTGCTACAGGAAAACTGGCTATGCTAACCAGCATTAGCATTCATACGAGCTCCGTGGCGAACTAGCTGTAGCGTAGCAGCAGGTACATGACTGTGATTGACAACGCTAAAACTCTCGTCCTGGCTTTGATTGGTTTCTGTAGTGGGACTGGGAGGACTGGGATAATAGATCAATGTGATGATCTGGTGATCATTTGAACAAATGTGTAAAAATAAGATTTCCTATGAAAGTTAAATTCTGCAGCTTTGATTCCTGAGTTACAGATGAAATGGAAACCAGTAGAACCGGCATCAGCTGCGCTGCTCATCAGCGGACTGATGCGGCGCTGCCCCCCCCCCCTCCTGGCTGGCGGGGCGCGGCCCCCATCAGCCGACTGTGATTGCGCTGTGCAGCAGGCTGGTATTATCATCAGGGAAATGGGAATAATTGAACATCTGGACGTCTCTGTTTGGGAGATAATTAGTCAGCGAGTAGAGGGCCAGAACCAGCAGAGTCCAGTTTGAGAACCATCAGAATCAGTGGTTTACTGGTTTGTCCCCTTGCAGCCACAGCCTGCCCAGAGCCCAGCAGTTCAGAGGTCAGTACAGCAACGCTGCACCGCCCAGCAGCTACCACCAGGGGAGCTACAACCGCCACAGCAGCAGCCAGCAGCACTTCCAACGTAAGACTCCACCGTCCCTGACCCGACCTCTGACCCGACCTCTGACCTCTGACGCACCAGACACAACCGCAGACTGCCGGGCTGTTACCACTGCGCTCCACTTGGGGGCAGCACCTTCCTTGGGAAGCTGATGGGAATGTGATGAGACAGGAAGTGACATGACATTTAGAGAGACTTTGTATAGGCCATTTGCTGAAAGAGCAGTGAAGACAAACTGAAATATAATTAAACATTTTCCATGAGAGATAAAAACTTCTAGTTTGAGCTTCAGCTGGTTCACATTCTAGAAGATAACCTGTTAGCATCCAGCTATCAATCAGGTGATCAATAACTGATGGAAACGCTGGAGGAGCCGCTGGACTCTGAGTCGCTGTTCTGTTTGACTCCAGAGGCTCCGGATTACAGGTTAGATACTGACGGCTTTATCCTCTCAGCAGAACCTCTACGGCGGCTTGTTAGCCACAGTTAGCAGGCTGCGGTTAGTAATTACAGAGATGGTAGCCTCTTGTCCTCTTGGAGGGACGCGATGGGATGGACGGGACCTTGTAATTAGCCAGACTGTCTGGGTGGGTGGTCCACTTCAGCTCTACTGCTGGAGGTCAACCAGAGAGAGAGAATGGGCCTGCTGCTTGACCCCACACCAACACACCCCAACACACACACACCAACACACACACACCAACACACCCCAACACACACACACCAACACACACACACCAACACACACACACCAACACCTACACACACACACAGTCTGATGAACTGACCAACCGATTCCAGAACGTTGGAAAGGATTCACCAACTTTTAATTATAAAATCTGAGAAGTGCGGCTTGCTCCCACTTTACTTCACTTCAGACCTGGCCACCTGATTGGTAGAAAGCTGTGATGACATCACAGCGTGATCTCTTGGGGATCTAAAGAGATCCACTGCTAAGGTGGGGTCTGGCCATCATTGAAGTCACAGTTAGCATGCTAGCACTGATCATTAGATGCTAGCATAATGGGTTAGCACGCCAGCAGGAGCTTGATGAAGCTGCATCTCCAGGGAAGCGATGATTGGAGGTTCCTGATCTGCAGGTTGAAGGTTCTGGTCCAGACTGAGCCTCAGAGTTCTGGTTCTGGTTCTGTCTTTGGTGATGCTCAGGTTCCCTGGTTCTAACAGTGTTTGGGTCTGGACCTTCAGAGAAGCAGCACCTGGTCCCTGTGACCTGCCCCCTCCCACCCTGCCCCCCATCCCCCCTCTCCCCCCCCAGCCACTTGACCACCCCTCCCCCCCTGTTAACAACAGGCCTGCTGCAGCTGGTCGTCGCCGTGGTAACCGGGTACTTGAGGCGTCCACAATGGCGCCTGCTGAATGCGTCCCTCGTTTTCCCAACTGGAGAATGTTAATGCAGCGGTCCGGACCCGACCCGACCCGACCCAGAGCCGCTCCGAAAACCCGACGGTCCCAAATATTTCTACAGTCAAACCGAGTGTTGGGAATGTTCCCGGAACCAGAACCGGAACTGATTCTGGTTCCAGAACCGGCCCTGAGTCTGTTCTGTTCCCTACAGATTCCAGGCAGAACGCGCCGCAGCGTCCGCCGCCGTCCTTCAGCGGCGTTCCGCCGCCATTCCCCAGGTGAGTCCTGCGCTCCGATCCTGGTTCTGATCCGAGTCATTTCAACCCAGCAAACTGTTTTGCTGTCCTGAGGAATTAACTGTTAAAACTGTTAAAATTTTCCAGGTATTTGTTTTTTGTAAAACTCTGGCGTTCCCGGCATTCCCGTCAGTATTCCTGCCTGCAGCTTCATGACTAACGCTGCGCCGGCTCTCCAGTCCTGATCCGGGTCCTGGACACAGCTTCCTGTCGATCCGGGTCGCTCCTCATTCCTGGAGGCTGAGCGGTTTTCTTAAGCCTCTCAGGATTTCTGAGTGGGATTAGGCAGCGGCGCTCCGATCGGAACGCCGCTCTGAGTGTGACATGGTTCAGTAATGAGGGATGGGAGCGTCTTCATTATCTGGCCGGACACTCCGGAAGCCTCTCCGACCCGAACCACAACTCCAGAACCAAGCAGAAAGTTCAGCCGCTCTGCAGATTCAGGAACATTTTTAATGTTTCCTTCAGAATCAACTCATTTACTGCGAAAACAACAAACCAGTTTTATGGTTTCTCAACTCCTTCCTAATGTTTTCAGGATCTGATTTAAATAGTTGGATTATTTCACTGAAAAAACATTTTTTCCATGTTGGAACTGAAGCGTGAATAATTTAGCTCCGGCCTTCGCTCGTCTTTCAGTTCTGCTGAAATATTTGGTCAAATTTAGTTTTATCAAACTAAACTTCGCGGCTCTGGGAACCAGTTCACACAAATCCAGGTTTTCCTTTCAAGTGAAATAAAAGCAGATTATTTATTCCTGATTGAGTTACTGACCCGTTACTCTGGATTTCCTTACGATGTGACAATGAGATGTTGACCTCTGACCTGCAGAGCTCCTTGCTGAAGGATCCGGCTCTGTCCAACCAGCTAACGAGTGAGCTAGCAGGAGCTAACCGGAGCTAGAAGGAGCTAACCGGAGCTAGCAGGAGCTAACCGGAGCTAGCAGGAGCTAACCGGAGCTAGCAAGAGCTAACCGGAGCTAGCAGGAGCTAACCGGAGCTAGCAGGAGCTAACCGGAGCTAGCAGGAGCTAACCGGAGCTAGCAGGAGCTAACCGGAGCTAGCAGGAGCTAACCGGCTGAACGTTGGTGTGTGCAGGCAGCAGCAGCCGTACCGCGGCGGGGCCCACAGCGGGGCCCACGGCGGGGGCCAGGGCTGGGACCGGGCCCTCCAGGCTCAGCAGTCTGCGTACCAGCAGAATCTGAGCCGCGGCGCGGTGGGACCCGGCGGCTACCAGCAGCGCTACGACCAGCGCCGAGAAGACTGGGGAGATCGCCGTAGCAACCGGGGCCAGCAGCAGGTAAACATCTGGAAACCTCTGGGATCACAAAGACCCAGTTTTAACTCTGGTTCTGACCCAGTTCTGCTCATCACATCCCGACGGGCCAGGTGGACCAGAACCACTTTGATGTTTCTTTATTTTCATCTTGAAAAAAGCAAAATAGAAAAATGAATGTGGAACTTTAAATAACTGGAGCTGCTGCTCGCTTATTTCAAGTTCTGACTGAAATTAGTCAGAATTTCAATTTTTACTTCAGATCTTTGCATTTTTCATTTTCCTGCAGTCGAGTTTAAACTGGCAGAATCCCACTTTAACTAAGGAAGTCCAGTTGATCAGAACCAAATTAATCATCAATTTGTTTTCCTGCTTTTACTTTCATCCATATTTTGATCAGTTGAGGAAAAACCTTCCAAAATCTATTTTGGAAGGTTTTTCCTCAACTGATCAAAATTAAATTAATCTCCTTTTTGGAATAAAAATGTTATTTACGCTTTGAAATGATGAAATCTGTGAAATGATTTAAACACTTGGTTGTTTTTTTTTCTCCAGTCGGAATGAAAGCAGCTTCTTTGTTTTCCAGGCCAGAGGATTCCCTCTTCCTCCTCCATCCAGAAATATCCGCTGGAATAACTGAATTTTCCAGATGGGAAAAATTTTAACCTTTTAATTTTCTCTGTATAATATTTTCATCTTTTTAAAAACCAGCTTGTAAACCGTGTGTTGAAGTTTTGTTTCTCAGAGAAAATTGTGGAATAAAACATGTTGCTGGGATTAAATGTCTTTGGATATTTATTTATTTTTTCTCATTTTATTGAGATTCAGTTCATTGAGACAAAGGAAATAGTTTTAAATAGAATAAAAATCCAGTTTTTTACATGAAATATTCCGTTTTTAGAAAGGAAACTTTCATTTGCGCTTCAGTTCTAAAACCAGTGATCCCAGCAGACTGAACCAGTTTGTTACCAGTGAACAGGAATTCTGAGGGATATTCCTGTTAATCCAGGAGGAAGTTCTGGTTCTGGTCCGGTTCGGTTTTATTTCTCCTCCATCCCGCTGGATGTCCGAGTTTCTGCGTAAAGAATCCCAGTTTTGACGCGCGGAAATAAAAACTGGATCATTTTCCCTCCTGCGGACCTGGATCGGGAATGTTCTCCAGTTTTCCCGGTTCTACCAGGTTCGGCCGTACAGTAAATTGGACCCGAGCATGCTGCTGCTGTACTCGATGAGCGCCGAGTCCGTCTGCGTCAGGCTGATGTGCGGCTGCAGGCCGAGCGGCGGGCTGGGGCACAGATCCTCCAGCTGCTCCGGGGAGGACCGCTGGTTCTGGTTCTGATTGGCTACCGCGTAAGCAGAGCCGGACTGACGGGTCCCGGTGTGGCTCGGTTCGCCCCGGTACCTCCGATCTGCCTTTGAGAGGAGCGGGGACCCGGCGGAGGAGCAGCGGGAGGCCGCGCTCTGGCGGCCGGCCTCCCGCTGCTGCTTCTGGGCGGCCTTGTCCTTGGCCTGCCGCTTCAGCTTGTAGCGGTGGTTCTGGAACCAGATCTTGACCTGGTTCGGGCTGAGATGGATGAGGCCGGCCAGGTGTTCCCGCTCCGGGGCGGACAGGTACTTCTGCTGCTCGAAGCGCCGCTCCAGCTCGAACACCTGCGCCTGGGAGAAAAGGACCCGGCGCTTGCGGCGCGGCGCGGCGTGGAGCGACAGCAGCGGCTTGGAGCCGAGCTCCGTGCCGGGGAGGCCGCCCAACATGCCGGGGAGGCTCACCGCGCCCTGCGCGCCCATCAGCCTGGAGACTGGAGAGACAGAGTTCAAGACTAAAAGGCAGAAATAACAGCAGAATTAATTTATGGTGAATTTTACTGTTACTCTGGTTTCTAAATTATGAAAAATGTAAAACTCATTTAAATGTTAAAGAAATATATTGAATGGCAATGAATAATATTGCAACGAAATTAAATTTGACTAAAACTCAAGTTCAAAGTAAATATTAATTTTCTTCTTTTCATGAAATTATTTTTATCTCAATTTATAAAATTATTTCAATCCCTTCACGCTGCAGAGCTGAACTGTTACATTCACTTTAATTTACAGCAGAAATTCACAACAAAAGTTTCCAGGTTTTTAAACATTTTTGTCATTTCGATTTAATCATCCAAATATCCAAAATCTTTCCAGCTATAAAATGAATTATAAAAAGTTTCTCTCAGCAGACTGACTCGAACGAACCGGTTCAACCCAGTTCAATAAATCAAGGAGCGGTTCCGGCCGGACTCACTGCTCTGGTACCGGGGCTCCGGGCCGCCGAACCAGGCGGCGGGCCCTCCGCCCCGCCCCGGCTCCGGGAGCAGCTCCCCGCCGCCGCAGAAGCCCGCCGGGGCCCCGGCCAGCTGCGGCCTCCCGGGCGGAGCGTGGTAGGCTGAGGAAGAGGAGGAAGCGGACAGGTGATGATGGTACAGGTGGTTCTGGTTCTGGTTCTGGGTCCCAGGCTGCCGGTAGGCCCCCAGCGGGCCGGGCTCCATCCCTCCGAACCGGCGGTACGCCTCTTCCATCGGGCTCAGGATGTCTGTGACTGAGAACCGCGGACAGCTTCGGGCTCATGCACGCTGCGCGGTCCAGGCCGGTCCGGTTCGGATCGGCTTTCTGCTGGATCCTGGTCCTCCTCCGTCTGTCTGAGGCGCGGGGGCCGCGGGACCCTTCCCGGTGGGGGCGGAGTGACCGAGAGGTTCGGTTCGGATCTTCAGAACTTTGTCAGATCCGCAGCGCGCGCAGCTTCACCTGCTCAAGTTTCTGAGATGTGGGGCGCGTGCACGTGGAGCGTTCACGTGGAAAACCACGTGACGTCTCCACCTGTTGGAGGCGCTCCGGTCCAGATGCTCGGAACCAGCGGGTTCTGATCCGGACCGGGATTCTACGGATCCAAAACGGTTCGCGTGTTTTAATAATCTGTTGCTTCACTTAACATTTTATTAACTTTTGCACAGAAAGTAAAATCATTTAACATCAAAACAAAAGATTTTCTGTCACTTTATGTCTTGAACTAAATTGAAAATAACTTCTGATTTTATTCTGAAGTTACTTTTAAAATCGGAACTGATCGATTTTTGTCATGAACGACGCGCATGCGCGCTGGTGAACCAATCAGCAGCTGACCTTGTATTTATAGTCAGGTACTATCGGACCGAACCGAACCGAACGTTATGGCCTCAGATTAAAACAAATTTCATCTTCCGGAATTCTTACGTCATCAACTGTGACGTCTCGCCATGAAGAGAATCAGAATAAACTTTTATTTCATTTCTCTTGTTTTTCGACTCGTTTATTTATGACGTTTCATTTGATTCAGTAGAACCAGAACCGGAACCACAACCAGAACCAGGACCAAGACCAGAACCAAGACCAGAACCAGAACCAGGACCAGAACCAGAACCAGAACCAGAACGAGAACCACGAGTGTCCAGGATCGCTCCCTGATTCGATCCACGTTTCCTGTCTCTACTTTGCTCTCGGTCAGTTGGGGGGCATTATGGGTCAGTTCGGAACAATGGTTCTGGTCTTGGTTCCGGTTCTGGTTCCGGTCTTGGTTCCGGTTGTGTGGGTTTTTGTTGGGAGTGTCGGATCTACTTCCGGCTGCGGATGAATCTGGTGTCGTTGATAAGGCAGTCCCTGTTGCCATGGCAACCAGTGAAGGTATCAGCAGCAGGTTCAAAGGTCAACTCTTCTTCTGTGATGAAGACCATGGTAAGGTTCTAACCCGCTAGTAACCAGGGATCCCAACAGAACCGTCAGAACCGGACCGCAGGTGAAGGTATTTAATGTTTCCGGCGCGAAGATCCGAAGTTTGCAGGTCTGAATCCGCTTCACCGAACCGCTTCAGCGAACCGCTTCACCGAACCGCTTCAGCGAACCGCTTCACCGGACCGCTTCACCGAACCGCTTCACCGGACCGCTTCACCGAACCGCTTCACCGGACCGCTTCACCGGACCGCTTCACCGAACCGCTTCACCGGACCGCTTCACCGGACCGCTTCAGCGAACCGCTTCACCGGACCGCTTCACCGAACCGCTTCACCGGACCGCTTCACCGAACCGCTTCAGCGAACCGCTTCACCGGACCGCTTCACCGAACCGCTTCAGCGAACCGCTTCACCGAACCGCTTCACCGAACCGCTTCACCGGACCGCTCACCGAACCGCTTCAGCGAACCGCTTCACCGAACCGGCGGCAGGACGGCAGAGAGAAAAAACCCGGAATGAGTTTATTACGTCATATTGACGCGATTCCGTCACTGCACAGTGAATACTAAATGAATAAAGCAACACTTGGTTTTGAAATATGTTCAGCAGGAAAACAGCAAAAAAAATGAAAAACTAAATATGTTTAATATTAAGATAAATACATTAATTAAAGTTTATTATAAACTGAAAATGTATTATTGTGCTGCTTATGATGTTTCATATTATTGTTTCTGAGGTTTGATAGAGCCTTCTGAGACTTAGTTACTAGTTACTAACTACTTGATTTGGAAAGTAACTAAGTTACATTAAAGTAACTATTTTAGTTACTTTCAGCAATTGCTATCAACACTGTGAAAATCACATTGATGGTTGCCAATATTTAATAGCAACTTCTTTTATTACAGTAACATCAACAATGTGTCTCCAGTTCTAAGGTTGAACTGGAGGAGAGATTATTTAATGGTTACAACCGTACAAATAAACCCCCATCCTGCACCTGCCACATCCTGCCCCATCCTGCCGCATCCTGCCCCTCCTGCCCCATCCTGCCCCATCCTGCCCCATCCTGCCCCATCCTGCCCCATCCTGCCCCATCCTGCCCCATCCTGCCCCATCCTGCCCCATCCTGCCCCATCCTGCCCCATCCTGCCCCATCCTGCCCCATCCTGCCCCATCCTGCCCCATCCTGCCCCATCCTGCCCCATCCTGCCCCATCCTGCCGCATCCTGCCCCATCCTGCCCCATCCTCCCCATCCTGCCCCATCCTGCCGCATCCTGCCCCATCCTGCCACATCCTGCCCCATCCTGCCATTAGCGTATTGGCTCGGTGTGTTTTGGGCTCTGGCTTCTTCTTGAATCATTTCTTACTATTTCACAGTCGAAGCTTCAGACACATCAGTGTCGTATGTTTGGGCCGCTACTTGCTGCTTTTACAAGGGATTTAAAATGAAATTTCAATCATTGTCCTCCGAGTTGTTCACGGTGCTGCCGTCCTGGATCTCGGTCACCCCGCAGCAGCTGAGCCCGCTGCTGCAGAGTTGAAAACACCAGGGGGCGCTGCTGCTGGTGGCTCGCTTTTTGGAAAAACAAGCATGAGCCACCCAAAAAAAATCAAGATGGCCAATATAGTTGTTATCGCAGATGAATACTTTTGGTGTCAAATTCTACTCAGACTCATTACAATCAGGTTTGCTGATCATTTTTTATTCTTCAAGATGGCTGCAAAGTTTGTCATGGAGCAAATATCAGCCAAAAGGTTAGCTTCACAAACAAGAGTCATAGCTATGCTAACGTTAAACCCTAAAAGTAATTAGCAGAATTAATGCTAAGCTGCTAAATGAATAAAACTAAGTAGACGCAAATATTTAGCTGCTAAGCCTAAAACAACCAGCAGAAGCTAATGCTAATCGTTGGGATGACCATCTCTCAGCCTGTTTCTTCTTCTTCTCCTTCCAGTAAAGTCCTGTTTCTGATTCTTCTGCATTTTATTACTTTAAAGTTATAATAAAACACCTGACGGAACATTTTATAAAAATAATTGACTTAAAAGCTTCAAACATTGCGGCCATCTTGAAACCCACATGACTAATGGGAAATATGTGACGACTGAAAATATGATGATGTAAATGTGAGGAGAGGAAGTTCATTGGTGACGACGAGGAGAAGCTTTTGAATATTAATGTATCAAAGAAACATAAATGATGACTAAATAACCCATCTGTAGCAGTCCCTCAGACCCAAGAAAAACACGGAGAGCTTCGACGGGTGCAGTAGCTATATTCACTTTTACTGGGTTCAAACCAGTTTTGAGTCACCGTGAAAACTAAAGAAAAAATACACAAAACATGAATACAGCACATAAAACAAATAAAGCTCCAAAAGAGCACCTCGCTGCGCCGTCCGAGGGCTGCAAAGACCACAGCGGTAAAGGCCGTCGTGCTATCCTAGCCGCTACTGAAAATATGAGCAGCAGCTCAAGTACAAAATGAAGATGCTCCTCCTCTTCCTCCTGTCCGTGGGTTACAGTGCCCCTACTGGACACTATGGGCAACAACCCCAACTAGAACATACTATGACATGGGCATTTACATCATCCATCCATCTATCTATCTATCTATCTATCTATCTATCTATCTATCTATCTATCTATCTATCTATCTATCTATCTATCTATCTATCTATCTATCTATCTATCTATCTATCTATCTATCTATCTATCTATCTATCTATCTATCTATCTATCTATCCATCCATCCATCCATCCATCCATCCATCCATCCATCCATCCATCCATCCATCCATCCATCCATCCATCCATCCATCCATCCATCCATCCATCTATCTATCTATCTATCTATCTATCTATCTATCTATCTATCTATCTATCTATCTATCTATCTATCTATCTATCTATCTATCTATCTATCTATCTATCTATCTATCTATCTATCTATCTATCTATCTATCTATCTATCTATCTATCTATCTATCTACACTCTAGTCCCTCATGTGGTCGGCAGATATTACTTAATTATAACAAAACTAAATTTGTAATATTTAGCAACAAGCAAATATAAACATGAGGTTAAACTCATTGAAATAGAAGTGTTTAGAAATTGCACAGGAAATTGTAGCTTTTCATATTATCCATGAAAAGCTAAAATGTCAGAAATTACTGTAACATTAATTGAAATTTAATATTTTCTGAACAAAAAATTTACTTTACATGTTTTACTCGTGTTTAATATTTTACATATTTAGAGATCTGGAAAAACTTTTAAAGAAACAACTTAAACCACAAATAGTAATGATAATAATAATTATAATAATAATAACAATAATAATAATAATCATAATCATAATAAATGCATCAAATTATTTTTATCCATCTAATTAAATATTTCTTAAATTGCGTCTGAGGTTTAAAAAGAATTAAAAATCAAAAGTTAGTTTAAAATAATTGTGGGGCAGAAAACAAACAGATTTAATGAAGAAAACACAAAAACACAAAATCCAAAACTGCAGGCAGCTCAGCTGGAAAAGGCTCCACCGGATCAACCGGAGCGACCGGAGCGTTCCCAGCATTCATGTTCGTTCCCAGCAGGTAATCAGGGAACGAGACACAATTCAGGGGAAAACATTGAAACTCACAGACACAATAAACTCACTGAAAACTCAAATCATGACAAGAATAAAAGTTGTTAAAGAATATTTTCATTTCTGTCATAAAGCGCCAGTGAAGCTGTTTATTGAAATCAAAAGGCTCAAATATTTCTAAAACATCTCCAGGAAATTTCAGTTGAATCTGCAGAGAAACTCAAAAATCTAAATAAATATAATTTATTGTAGACAGGTTTGTTATTAATATCTATTTCTGATCATTTTATTTTATTCAGCATTTTGTGTTTTTCACTTCAGCTGTAAAATTATTAAATTATTTACATTAATTTAAATAGTCATGTTTTTGACTCTCCTGTAATTTAAAATAATCTCTTATGGTTTCATTTAATCTGCTGAATCTGAATATTTGTTAATAAACGGTTGGCTGGATGAATCCTTGCGAGTCTTAAATCCTTTTTTGCTCCAGATTATAATCTGGGGAGGTAAAATATTCCCAGATTTACTGGGATTCTGAAAGTTTCCGCGATTGATTGAAGATTATCGATAATCGGAGGACGGGCTGGCGACCTGTCCAGGTGAGCCGCCTCTAGCAGCTGCTGCCCCCTGCTGGCTGCGCCCAGAACGACACCAGAGTAAAATGAAAACATTTCTAATAAAAATCAGAAAATTCTATAATTTCCCCTTAAATTAAATCTGAATATTTTATTAGCAAATAAAATAAATAAGTAAAATATAGAAATTAATTAATTAATTAATACATTTTCACTGGTTGCAGTTTTTTTTAATTTGTTTTTTAAATGAATAAATAATTCATTGAAATAATCGTCAAATATAAAACTGAATTAAATCACAAATCATCGAATAAAACCGAATCTATTATTTCATCCAGAATGTATTTCCTGCCTCCGTTCTTTAATTAGGCCTCCTGATCGTTGGATAATCAATAACAATTATTGATTATTCATTTCTTCAGAAGCGGGCGAGATGAAAGCCCGCCGCTGAGATATGACCTTTGACCCCCGGGAAGCAGAACGACACGGAGCGGGAAAACCCAAACAGTTCGGAACCAGAACCGGATCGGAACAACTGGACCGGCTGCCGGGGCGGGACGGTTCTGGAGGTTCTGCATCCCGCCTCTTCCCGCCCGTCCTCAGCGAGGTGTTTGTCCCGATTGGACCGGTTCTGGACCGGTTCTGGAACACTTCATGTGACACCGCTTTGAGTTGAAGCAGACCGGTTCTGGTTCCGAACTGGACCTGCAGCAGGAAGACTCCTGCTTTCTGGACCCGTACTTCTCCTCCCGTTCCGTCGCCAGAACCATCAGGCTCATCTGGGTCGGAACCGAACAGCAGCCTTTTCTGGATCATTTTTTTTTTTCCGCTCTGAACTGGACCGAACCCTTTCTGTTTCAGAAGAACCAGAACCGAGTCAGAATCTTCCGCACATTTATTCAGAACCACAAACAATAAATAACCTGAACATGGAAAGAGAACAAACCGAACCGGGCCGCGGAGCGGATCCAAACAGTCAGAGCGGAAAGTTCGGTCCGGTTCGGCTCAGGTCCAGCTCCAGGGGTAGATGAGCGGCGTCGGTCCCGTCCGGTTCGGCCCGCAGGCGGCGCGCAGCAGCGGGGAGAATGCGCACAGCGGCAAGGCGAACCCGGACCGAACCTCCAGCGGTTCGGACGGTTTCCCGTCCCGAACCAGCAGCGGGATCGCGATGCGGCGCGCTGGAAGCAGCGGGAGCGCCTCGTGGCCGCGCTCCGCGTGCGCGCGCTTCATCTTGTATCGGTGGTTCTGGAACCAAATCTTGACCTGGTTCGGGGTCAGCTGGATCCGGCCCGCCAGGTGCTCCCGCTCCGGAACCGACAGGTACCGCTGCTGACGGAAGCGGCGCTCCAGCTCCGAGGTCTGAGCCTTGGAGAACAGAACCCGCCTCTTCCGGTTCTTCTGGGCCGAACCGAGCCGGGCCGCGGCGCCGGGATGCTCACCGGGTCGGCCGGTTCCGGACTCTGAGACGGGAAGGAAAAGAACTTTTATTACTGTCAGAGACCCGGTTCAGAAATCCGGACCAGAACCACATCAGAACCATAAAGGTTACCGATAAAAGTTTGGATCAGGTTCCGGTTCGGCTAAGACCATAAAGACCTGAACCGAACTTAGAAAAGGTTCTGGTTCCGGTTCTGGTGAAGATGAAAGAGTTCTGACCTGATGCTCGGCTCCACCTGCTCCAACTCTTCGGTTCTGGGTCCGGTTCCGGTTCCTTCCTGGAGCTCTCCTCCTCGGTTCCGGACCCGGATCCTCCTGCGGGGTTCGGAAGGTCCAGAAGATCCCGCACTGAGAATCCGGTTCTGCCTCTGGAGCCGGAAGGCATGGCGCAGGCGCAGACGGAACTGGTCCGGGTTCTGTTCGGGTTCGGGTCCAGTTCGGGTCGTTAGAGATCAGCGGACCTCCGCAGGGTTCGGTCCATGAAGGGTTCGGCGTTCGGGTCGGACTGAGCCGCTGCGGCGCCTCGGCGCTTTAAGAGGGAGGAAGAGGAGGAGGAGGAAGGTCACATCATCATCCTCTTTATGCCAGGCTGGACCGAACCGGCCCGCTTCTTTTCTGGACCGGGGAACCAGGAGGAATATTCGGTTCTGATGACTGTTTTGGGTCAGAGCAACAGAAGCCGTTCAGAATCGGATCAGAACCATTCAGAAAGACGGTCCAGTTCAACCCGTCCAGACTGGTGGTGGCAGCATCACGCTGGGGGAGCCCAACCTGGGGTCAAAGTTCAGCTTCCAGCAGGAGGACAGGACGAGATCAGAGCTAGTGGCCTAGTCAAAGTCTAGAACTGAGGTGATCAGAACACAAACCAGGTTCCACAGAGTTCTGTTCATATAAAAATACTCCGCACTTTTCAGATTTTAGTTGCAAAAACAATGGAAACCACTTCCTGTTTCCTAATGACAGGTTCTGTTCCAGACCCGGTCCGTTCGGTTCTGAAGAATCTCAACATTATTATTATTGTTTTAAATGTTCATGATGGGTTTGGAGCCACACTGTAACAAACTGCCCTTTACAGTAAAATGCTGGCAGCAGGGTTGCCAGCATTATACTGTTAATATACAGTATCCTTACTGTAATTAACTTTACAGTATATTACCGTCACAAAAGAAATCTTTTGATTACAGCACATTGCTGTTTTTTTATCATATTTACAGTAGACTCCTGGCAGCTGTGTTGCAGTATATCACAGTTTTTCTATGGTACCATCACTGTTATATTCACATACAGCTTACTACTGTAAATTTCCAATATAAAATAGAAACATGAAAAAAAAAACACTTAGAAAATGTAAGTTCCATCATGTCAAACATTTATTTGGAAAAAAAAGAACCAACTCAAACATCGACTCACACGGTGTTTAGTGGGCCACATAATAAAGACGAAGGTTTTGAAACGACAATGTATGTGTACCTTAAACCTAAACCTTTTCTACAAGAATGTTGAGGGTAAACTGTCCAAAGTAAGTCAGATTCTGGAAAAACAGTAAGAAAATCACCATCTATTTTGTGAAATAAATTTCTTAACTGATGTAAAGAGTATTTGAATAAAGCATGAATTGTGGCCTTTTGATTAGTCTGAAATAAAATAAGTATGAAATAAATTATGGAAATAATGCATTGTACAATTCAGCACAATACTTTTTCAATACAAAATATGACTTTTTGTGGAAGTGAGGAACAACATGATGCAACATAAAACATTTAACTTTCAATCTAAAGCATAGAAAAAAATTGCACATTTTAGTTTGATAAAAATTTAAATGAAACATTTAGACTTGAATTTCCTTTAGGGCAAAATCAGAGCTCCAACTTCAGATGATAAAACAATGAAACAATATTAGACAAGATAAGTTAAACATGGTGCCTGTACAGTAAAAATTACATCTGAAGAACAGAAAGTGGGAGCCTTAACAAAATGTATGCTCTTAATTAAAAGAGATGTCTTCAGATTATGCTGACCTTTAAACCAAAAACATCTCTCAAGAACACTCCTGTTCAGGGATAAGTTGCCTTCATGCCTGTATAGTTTTTTGTTTGCTTGTTTTTGCGTGGAGGGGCAACAATATCTATAGCTTGGTTAGAAAGTTCTCACTATGAAATTCCACTCAAAGTCCATGAGGTTTTTCAGCAGAGTTGAAACACGGGGGATGACAGTGACCGACTTCTTTTGAAAAGTTTTCCCTGTCCTCTTGGAGATGATCTTGCTACAGCTGGACTTGGTTCCTCAGGGTTGATATCAAGAAAGCCTGAAAATGCAGTAATTTCAGATTAGCATATGATGCTTAAGGAGTCAGGGTTGAATGTGTGCTAGGTGAAGACAAACTACTGAATGTTAAGAGTTAATAAAGAGACACCAGCATAACATTTAAACAGTTTTCTGCCAAGTCAACTTTGTGAAACTCCAAATTCCCAGTTGATATCCATTCACCAATTTCACTTTAGCAGCTAATCATAGCAATTCAAGTCAAATTACACAAAAGAAAGAAAAAGAGCTTCCAAACATGTCAATATTTGTAAATATGAATCATCAAAAATAACTTACCTTAGGATTGGCTCATAAAATGCAGGATTCAAATGGATAGTCCTTAAAGAAAGTTCTAGAGCAGGGGTGTCAAACTGCCGTCCTGGAGGGCCTGCAACGTTTAGATGAGCCTCTGCTGCACCACCTGAATACAATAATAGGTCATTAGCAAGACTTTGGAGAACTGATCTACACAAGGAGGAGGTAATGAAGCCATTTCATTCCAGTGTTTTGTTCCTGTGGCACAATAAAAAACTGCAGGACACCTGGAGGCCTGGAGTTTGACCCCCTGCTCTAGAGATGCTTCCACATGTCACAACAACATGTCTTCTTCAGAAATACAGTAGCGTTCTGTTTAAAGAGCCTCCTTACCGTTGAATCTAACATCATTCCCACAATGCAATGCTACTCACAGTATACTACAGTATTTTACTAAAAACAGTCATAATTGCCCAGAATGCATTGTTTTTCACGGTACAGTACCGTTTCCAATAGAAACAGTATGATACTGTTCAGTTTTGATGTTTTTTTACAGCAATTTGTTACAGTGTGGATTAGGATTAGGATTATGGTTATCATCATTTCTTTATGAGTTAAGATATAAAGTTATCAGAGATACAATGTGTGTGTGTGTGTGTGTGTGTGTGTGTCTGTGTGTGTGTGTCTGTGTGTGTGTGAGTGTGTGTGTGTAGGTGAGTGTGTGTGTGTGTGTGTAGGTGAGTGTGTGTGTGTGTGTGTGTAGGTGTGTGTAGGTGAGTGTGTGTGTGTGTGTGTGTGTGTGTAGGTGAGTGTGTGTGTGTGTGTGTGTGTGTGTAGGTGAGTGTGTGTGTGTGTGTGTGTGTGTGTGTGTGTGTGTGTGTGTGTGTGTGTGTGTGTGTGTGTGTGTAGAAAGTAAACCAGGAGGTTTTAGGTCGATATTTATTATGAAATAATAAAATAAAACAAATCGCTGCACCTGAACATAATTATAAGATTTGAATCAGTTTGTTTTATTTTTATTCTAATTAAAAATAAAATTTCTTCAATCTTTCCAGCATTTCCAATGCTGGAAAGATTCGCGTCTTTCCAGCATTGCGGTCAGACCGTAAATTGAGATGACTGGGAATCATCCTGCTGCGGGTCAAAGGTCACAAAGAAGTCATTGATAATCTTCTGTCAGTCTGGATTAAATCCCGTGTTTGGATTTATTCTTGTTCTCCGAGTCTCTGCCGGTCATCTGTTAGCGCGCATCGCCCCCTGCTGTCTGAAGGAGGAACTGCAGCTATCTCGGCTCATTATTATTATTATTATTATTATTATTATTATTATTATTATTATTATTATTATTATTATTATTATTACATGATAAACTCGACCCTAGCCAGGAGAAACCTTCAGCCTGGACACCAGAGGGTTGTGGGTTTGAATCCCGATTCGTCTGAGGGATCAGCAGGATCACAGAGGATCCACTACCGGGATATTAGAAAAACAAATGAAAACAGTTTACAAGAATAAAAGACAAATAATTATATTAAAATTATATTAAAATTATATTAAAATCCAATCCAGTTTTTCTATATTAAAAGAAAAACCGAGTAAATGACATGAAACAGTTTTTGTTTTACCTGTAAAACATCCATCCATCATCCATCATCCATCATCCATCATCCATCATCCATCCATCCATCCATCCATCCATCCATCCATCCATCCATCCATCCATCCATCCATCCATCCATCCATCCATCCATCCATCCATCATCCATCATCCATCATCCATCATCCATCATCCATCATCCATCCATCCATCCATCCATCCATCCATCCATCATCCATCCATCATCCATCCATCCATCATCCATCCATCATCCATCCATCATCCATCCATCCATCATCCATCCATCATCCATCCATCATCCATCATCCATCATCCATCATCCATCATCCATCCATCCATCCATCCATCCATCCATCCATCCATCCATCCATCCATCCATCATCCATCCATCCATCCATCCATCATCCATCCATCCATCCATCATCCATCCATCATCCATCCATCCATCATCCATCCATCCATCCATCCATCATCCATCCATCCATCCATCATCCCTCCATCCATCCATCCATCCATCCATCCATCCATCCATCCATCATCCCTCCATCCATCCATCATCCATCCATCCATCCATCCATCCATCCATCTATCATCCATTCATCCATCCATCCATCATCCATCCATCCATCCATCCATCCATCCATCCATCTATCATCCATTCATCCATCCATCATCCATCCATCCATCCATCCATCATCCATCCATCCATCCATCATCCCTCCATCCATCCATCCATCCATCATCCATCCATCATCCATCCATCCATCATCCATCCATCATCCATCCATCCATCCATCATCCATCCATCCATCATCCATCCATCATCCATCCATCCATCCATCATCCCTCCATCCATCCATCCATCCATCATCCATCCATCCATCCATCCATCCATCCATCCATCCATCCATCCATCCATCCATCCATCCATCATCCATCCATCCATCATCCCTCCATCCATCCATCCATCATCCATCCATCCATCCATCCATCCATCCATCCATCCATCCATCCATCCATCCATCCATCCATCCATCATCCATCATCCATCCATCCATCCATCATCCATCCATCCATCCATCCATCCATCATGCCTCCATCCATCCATCATCCATCCATCCATCCATCCATCATCCATCCATCCATCCATCATCCCTCCATCCATCCATCCATCCATCCATCCATCCATCCATCCATCCATCCATCCATCCATCCATCCATCATCCATCCATCCATCCATTCATCCATCCCATCCATC